CTGCCTCGGTTTCCATCTGTGGTGGAAAAGACCCCCCGGGGCTCTGCCTGCAGTGGGCTCCACACGGCACCCAGGTGGAGCTGGGGCCCCTGCACAGCCTCGCCTGGCGTCCCTGTGACCACAGCCCGAATTTCCAGCATTGCCAGGGACAGAAGCCACCTCCACGCAGGAAGGCAGGGGCTGTCGCCTGTCACAGCCGTGTCACAGCCGTGTCTTGTCTGCGAGCCCCTGTGGGTGGAGTTTGCCCGGTCGGGTAACAGATGTCCCCTCGTGGCTTAGTGCCCCAGGACTGGTGAGCCCGGGCTCGGCTGCGTAGAGCAGGATGCTGAGCCCCTGAGATGTTACTCAGCAATGCCGGGTCCTGCGGACGCCGCCCCTGGCCAGGAAGCAGTGACACGGTGGCAGCAAGACCCAGTCTGGTAACAGAGAGGAAAATGATGCGTCCAGCTTCAGGCAGAGCTCCCTGCGACAGCTCTGTATAAAACGCCTTTTAACCCCCAGGCTGTAGGAGCAGGTGGGAATCAGTTCGCTGAGGTTGCAGCGCCCTCTGGTGGCCGCACTGTAGGCCCGCCTCTCATTCCCCTAGGAAAGTTGTCCTGAGTCTAGGGCAGGCAGTGTTGGGGGTCCTGTGGCTCCTTTCAGGGGACGGGGCTCACAGGGTGGCCTCTCTCCTCCTCCCCAAGCGCGGGCGTGGGCCGGACGGGCACCTTCATCGTCATCGACGCCATGATGGCCATGATGCACGCTGAGCAGAAGGTCGACGTCTTTGAGTTTGTGTCCCGCATCCGCAACCAGCGGCCACAGATGGTGCAGACAGACGTGAGTGACAGCCCTGGCACCTTTGCCACGAGAGCCCACCACAGCCCCCACACGGAGGACCCTGCCTTTGCTAGGCAGGTGGCAAGCAGCCCTGAGCTCCCCTCGTTAGACCTGGCTTCACTCCCTGTCCTGCCTCTGTCCACTTCCTGCCCTCACCCTTCGTGGCCTCGTGGGACCTGGGGTGGTCATGCTGCCCCCCAGATGCTGCTGGAGGGACAGGGACTGGCGGCCTCGGTGGATGCCGGCTGCGGCGCACACCCCCCCCCCCCCAAGCCATGCACGGTCATCACACATGGCCACTGCGCCTCCTGAGGGAGTGAACGGGCAGAGAGCGGCCACTTCGGGCTGCCGGGCCCCGTGTGGCAGGGTCGAGGGTGTGGCCGCCTGGTCCCCGCAGATGCAGTACACGTTCATCTACCAAGCCCTGCTGGAGTACTACCTCTACGGCGACACCGAGCTGGACGTGTCCTCGCTGGAGAAGCACCTGCAGACCCTGCACGGGAGCGCCACGCACTTCCACAAGATGGGCCTGGAGGAGGAGTTCAGGGTGAGTGCTCCCCCTGCCGGCTGAGCCCAGACACGGCCGGGCAGACGGAAGGAGGCGGTGGATTTCTCTCCCAGGACTAAGGAGCCCCCTCCCCCGGCCCGAGGTGGCAGCAGGTGCCCGTGCCAGTGGCGCTGTCACCCCCGGGAGCGGCGGCTCGCTAGAGTCTGGGCTTCAGCGGTGGCCTTGTGTCTTCTCGGCCGCAGAAGCTGACAAACGTGCGGATCATGAAGGAGAACATGCGGACGGGCAACCTGCCGGCCAACATGAAGAAGGCCAGGGTCATCCAGATCATCCCGTGTAAGCTGCCCCGAGGCTCAGAGCAGGAGCCCTGTGGGCTGGTGCGGGTGCTGGGCCAGGTGTCGGGAGCAGAGAGCCACCTGGGAGGCCCCGGGTGCCCCAGGCGGCCCCGTGTGCGCAGCTTGGGACAGGGATTGGAGGTGGGGGATGGTTGGCCGAGACCAGGGACCAGCCCACAGGGAGTGCCCCACAGAAGCCCGGAGGCTTGCCGTGGGCAGGACTGGTTCCCGAGGCCTGGGTGCATGTGTCCCCAACACAGAGGGACAGTGAGAATGCGCACACACCTGGGGCGAGGCGCCACGTCAGGGGCAAACAGCTGGGACTGTCCAGAAGACTCCAGCCTTGCAGAGGGCAAGAAACGGGCCCAGGGTGGGAAGGGACCCTGGCCTGCCACCGGCATGGTCGGGGAGGGAGAGCGACCGAGCGGCTGCGGGAACAGCCAGCAAGGAGGCAGGGCCACGCGCGGTGGGCAGGTGTGGAGCCCATCGAGGGTCTCACCCCGGGAAAGAGAAACCCATGCAGTACGGCCCCAAGGCGGACTCCAGAGGCCGCGCCAGACACCTGGCTGAGAGGGGAAGCCTTCACCTGGATCACTGCTGCGCGTGATACTCACACCAGCCCCACGGCCCCCACACCAGCCCCACGGCCCCCACACCTGCTCCACGGCCCCCACACCAGCCCCACGGCCCCCACACCAGCCCCACGGCCCCCACACCTGCTCCACGGACCCCACACCTGCTCCACGGACTCCACACCCGCTCCACGGACCCCACACCTGCTCCACGGACCCCACACCTGCTCCACGGCCCCCACACCAGCCCCACGGCCCCCACACCTGCTCCACGGACCCCACACCTGCTCCACGGACCCCACACCTGCTCCACGGACCCCACACCTGCTCCACGGACCCCACACCCGCTCCACGGACCCCACACCTGCTCCACGGCCCCCACACCTGCTCCACGGACCCCACACCTGCTCCACGGACCCCACACCTGCTCCACGGCCCCACACCTGCTCCACGGACCCCACACCTGCTCCACGGCCCCCACACCTGCTCCACGGACCCCACACCTGCTCCACGGCCCCCACACCTGCTCCACGGACCCCACACCTGCTCCACGGCCCCCACACCAGCCCCACGGCCCCCACACCTGCTCCACGGACCCCACACCTGCTCCACGGACCCCACACCCGCTCCACGGCCCCCACACCCGCTCCACGGCCCCACACCTGCTCCACGGACCCCACACCTTCTCCACGGACCCCACACCTGCTCCACGGCCCCCACACCAGCCCCACGGCCCCCACACCTGCCCCACGGCCCCCACACCTGCTCCACGGCCCCCACACCAGCCCCACGGACCCCACACCAGCCCCACGGACCCCACACCCGCTCCACGGCCCCGCACCCGCTCCACGGCCCCGCACCCGCCCCACGGCCCCACACCTGCTCCACGGCCCTCACACCCACTCCACGGCCCCACACCCGCTCCACGGCCCCACACCTGCCCCACGGCCCCGCACCCGCTCCACGGCCCTCACACCCACTCCACAGCCCCACACCCGCTCCACGGCCCTCACCCGCTCCACGGCCCCCACCCGCTCCACGGCCCCTCACCCGCTCCACGGCCCCGCACCTGCTCCACGGCCCTCACACCCACTCCACAGCCCCACACCCGCTCCACGGCCCCACACCCGCTCCACGGCCCCCACACCCACTCCACGGCCCTCACCCGCTCCACGGCCCCCACGCCTGTTCCACGGCCCCACTCCTGCTCCACCATCCCAAGGCCGCCTCTGTCCCCATGGTGCTACGGAACAGAACCTGCCCCGAGCTGGCTTTCCCCTGGATTGCGTTAGCAGCTCTGCTGTGCGTGTGGGAAGCCGTTCACCACGGATGAACGCGTGCCAGGCAGGGCCGTTTTCCGCTAACTAGGGGCGTGTCGCTTTGCAGACGACTTCAACCGAGTGATCCTTTCCATGAAAAGGGGCCAGGAGCACACAGACTACATCAACGCGTCCTTCATCGACGTACGTACGCGGGCCCCCCGCCCCCTCCGGGTGTGGCCACCAGGCTCTCGTATACCTCGTTTCCCCAGTCAGAAAGGGGTGGCGGGTTTTCCAGACACTCGGCCCTGTGGTTAGGAGAGTGAGTCGCTTTGGGAAGAATGAGTAGTGGGGGTCGTGGTGCAGCAGGCTGAGCTGCCCCCGGGATGCCCACACCCGCACTGGAGTGCTTGGGACGGAGTCCTCCCTCTGCCTCCCATGCGGCTCCCCGCTGATGCCCGTGGGAGGCAGCAGGTGATGACCTGAGTGCCTGCATTCCTGACACCCACGCGGAAGACCAGGTGGAGCTCCTGGCTCTGGCTGCAGCCTGGCCCAGCTCTGGCGTTGCAGGCGTTCTCGGACTGAACCAGCAGATGGAAGAGCTGTCCCTCTCCCTCCCCCTTTGTCCCGTTGTTGCTCTGCCTCTCAAATAAAACTGCGTAAGTGAGGCGTGGACACTGGGGGTAAGGTCACAGAGCCCCTGCTGGGTACAGGCTGTCTTTTATCTCACCCATCATGCACAGCTGTTTCTCTCTTACACACGCATTGCACGCATGCAGTTCTGCACCCAGTGCTCATGTGGACAGTGTGACTGGTTGGGAGTGCAGGGCACGCAGCGGGGGCAGCAAAGGGCGTCTGAGCACACCCCTGCCATCTCCACTTGCAGATGAGGTCGGTGGGTCCTGGTAGAGAGCCCCTTCCTCCAGCCCCCTCCCCCAGGGCCCTCTCACCACCACGATGCTGATTGGCTGTCACACACAGGAGCCGCCAGGGGCTGTGGACGTGGACCTGCCAGTTCCTCCCCCTCACTGACGGATGCTCCCGGGGCTGATGGCGGGGGCGTCCCACCTGCCCCGTGGGCGGAGCTCATGCAGACTGGGGTGTGGCTCAGGCAGTGGCAGCTGCGAGGGTTTCCCTTGGCCCGCTCTGAAGACCCCCCCGGCAGGGAGTGGAGCTGGGAGGGAGGGCAGTCAGTCCCTAACCTCTGCCCCCCCCCCCCGCAGGGCTACCGGCAGAAGGACCACTTCATCGCCACGCAGGGGCCGCTGGCTCACACGGTGGAGGACTTCTGGAGGATGGTGTGGGAGTGGAAGTGCCACACGATCGTGATGCTCACGGAGGTGCAGGAGAGGGAGCAGGTGAGGGCCGAAGCCTGAGGCCCCGTAGCAGTGCGGGTCAGAGGCCCCACCTGTCTCAGTGCTGCACACACGCGGGCGAGGCTGGGGCAGTGCGGGTCAGAGGCCCCACCTGTCTCGGTGCTGCACACACGCGGGCGAGGCTGGGGCAGTGCGGGTCAGAGGCCCCACCTGTCTCGGTGCTGCACACACGCGGGCGAGGCCCCGTAACAGTGCGGCTCAGAGGCCCCACCTGTCTCGGTGCTGCACACACGCGGGCGAGGCCCCGTATCAGTGCGGGTCAGAGGCCCCACCTGTCTCGGTGCTGCACACGCGCGGGCGAGTCCCCGTAGCAGTGCGGGTCAGAGGCCCCACCTGTCTCAGTGCTGCACACACGCGGGCGAGGCCCCGTAGCAGTGCGGGTCAGAGGCCCCACCTGTCTCAGTGCTGCACACACGCGGGCGAGGCCCCGTAGCAGTGCGGGTCAGAGGCCCCACCTGTCTCGGTGCTGCACACACGCGGGCGAGGCCCCGTAGCAGTGCGGGTCAGAGGCCCCACCTGTCTCAGTGCTGCACACACGCGGGCGAGGCCCCGTAGCAGTGCGGGTCAGAGGCCCCACCTGTCTCGGTGCTGCACACATGCAGACGAGGCCCCGTAGCAGTGCAGGTCAGAGGCCCCACCTGTCTCGGTGCTGCACACACGCGGGCGAGGCCCCGTAGCAGTGCGGGTCAGAGGCCCCACCTGTCTCGGTGCTGCACACACGCGGGCGAGGCCCCGTAGCAGTGCGGGTCAGAGGCCCCACCTGTCTCAGTGCTGCACACACGCGGGCGAGGCTGGGGCAGTGCGGGTCAGAGGCCCCACCTGTCTCGGTGCTGCACACACGCGGGCGAGGCTGGGGCAGTGCGGGTCAGAGGCCCCACCTGTCTCGGTGCTGCACACACGCGGGCGAGGCCCCGTAACAGTGCGGCTCAGAGGCCCCACCTGTCTCGGTGCTGCACACACGCGGGCGAGGCCCCGTATCAGTGCGGGTCAGAGGCCCCACCTGTCTCAGTGCTGCACACACGCGGGCGAGGCCCCGTAACAGTGCGGCTCAGAGGCCCCACCTGTCTCGGTGCTGCACACACGCGGGCGAGGCCCCGTAGCAGTGCGGGTCAGAGGCCCCACCTGTCTCAGTGCTGCACACACGCGGGCGAGGCCCCGTAGCAGTGCGGGTCAGAGGCCCCACCTGTCTCGGTGCTGCACACATGCAGGCGAGGCTGGGGCAGTGCGGGTCAGAGGCCCCACCTGTCTCAGTGCTGCACACACGCGGGCGAGGCCGGGGCAGACGTGGAGGAGGGAGAGAGCCTGGAGGTGCAGACCACGCCCTGTACCCTTGCCTTTCGCTCCCCAGAGCTCCCAGCTGCCCCTTGTTGGACCTCCGTGAAGTGCTGCCATTTTGTACTGGGCAAGGTCACAACCTGCTAAAGACAAAGACGTCTATTCCCTTTTTTTTTTTTCTTTAAAGACTCAGGCACTGGTCTGTGCGCCTAACTGAGGCTGCCCTGGCGCTGAATGAGTGACCTGGTTCCCTTTTCCCAGAGAGCTGCCTTCTTGTATTGTGTTTGCTCACGTAACACACACCCAGGAGCCCAGCACCCAACAGAAAAACCCGACTTCCGCCAACAACATGTGTCTTGGCGCTCTCCTAAGATGTAACCACAACTCTCGATTTGTGCTTAGATTTCTTTGCTTTAAAAAAAATACACCTTTCTCTCTGTCTCTCTCTCACTGTCCACTCTGCCTGTCAAAAAAAAAAAAAAAAAAAAAAAAAAAGGGCCAACACCGCGGCTCACTAGGCTAATCCTCCGCCTTGCGGCGCCGGCACACCGGGTTCTAGTCCCAGTCAGGGCGCCGGATTCTGTCCCGATTGCCCCTCTTCCAGGCCAGCTCTCTGCTGTGGCCAGGGAGTGCAGTGGAGGATGGCCCAAGTGCTTGGGCCCTGCATCTGCATGGGAGACCAGGAGAAGCACCTGGCTCCTGCTATCGGAGCGGCGCAGTGCGCCAGCCGCAGCGCACTGGCCGCGGCGGCCATTGGAGGGTGAACCAACGGCAAAAGGAAGACCTTTCTCTCTGTCTCTCTCACTGTCCACTCTGCCTGTCAAAAAAAAAAAAAAATGCTTAATTGAGATATAAGTCACTACCATACAACTTACCTTTTAAAGGGTATGAGCCAAGGGTTTAGTGTGTTCACAGATCCGTGCAATCCTAGCTTCTGTCTAATTCTAGAACATTCTAGAATTCCTCAAAAGGAAAGCCCATGCCAGCAGCGGTCACCCCTCTTTCCTCCTTGCCTCGGGCCCTGGCAGCCCCAATCCACTTTCTGACTCTGCTGGTTTCTCTGTCCTGGACGCCGTCACGGCAGTGACGTCACACAAGCTGTCACCTTGGGGACTGAGTTCTTGCAGGGTTTAGCCTGAGTCAGGATTTCACTCCCGTGTGTGACACGCGGTACTCCACCCCACAGATCGCTACGTTTTATTTGTCTGTTCATCCGCTGACAGACGTCCGGGTTATTTCCCTACGCGTTAGGAGCAGTGCTGCTGTGAACATCCACGCACAGGTCTTTGTGTGGGAATCTTTCTTTTATTTCTCTCGGGCGTACACTCCGGCCTGGAGCTGCTGGGTCGTGGGTTGATTCGGTGTCGTACGTTTTGTTGTTGGCCACCTCTGCGGAACTGTCAGACTTGTAGCCGCTCCAGCACCGGCAAGGCTTCCGGTCGCCACATCCTCACCAACACGTGTTGTTTGTCTTTTTGATTCAGGACATTCTAGTGGATGCATTCTTTGCTTTTTAACAATTTCTTTACAATCATATATTGGTATGTCTAAAGAAACGTGTTTGGCTTATGTCTGGGTTTAAACAATACCACCACGGTACGTAGTCTTTTAGGATTTGCTTTTTCCACTCAGAATTGAGCTTTTGATGTTTGTCTGTGTTGACGTCTACACTGGTGCATTCTCTGTCAATCATCCCGCTCTGTTCCACTACACAAACCACACAGCCTGTGCCCGCTCATTCAGCCCTTTTCCTGCATGGGCACTGGGCCCATTCTGTTTCATTGCTGTCCGCACATTTCTGTGCATATCTTACGCTGCCCAAGGACTAGCAGGTGCCCGAGAGACTAGAGTTTACTCTGGAGAGCATGAGACAGTTGGAGTTCACGAGACAACTGGTAAAGGCTTTCCAGAGCAGCCATGGCTTTCCAAGTGGGCAGTGGCCGCGTGCTAGATCTCTCCTTCACCTGCCTCGCAGTCTCGGTGTCCCAGTCTCGTTCCTGAGTAGGTGTAAGTCTCGTCTCCTCGCTGTGGCTTTGATTCCCGCAAGCTCCAGCATCGCTTTGTGTGCAAGGGCATTGCAAGAAGTTTGGGGTTGTACAGCGGGGGAAGCCACCACCTGGGGTGCCCACATCTTTTATCCGAGTGTCTGGGGTCAAGTCCTGCCTCCGCTGCCAATTCTGCTTCCTGCTAACGCACATCCTGGGAGGGAGCTGTGGAGGGCTCCTGCCATGCACATGGGAGACCTGCGTGGAGTTCTTGGCTCTGGCTTCAGCCTGACCCAGCCTCAGCTGCTGTGGGTCTTGGGGAACCAGTAGATGAAAAATTCTCTCTCCCCCTCCCCTGCCATCCTGCCCTCTCTGTCACTCTACCTTTCAAATAAATAAATACACCTGCTTTTAAAAGGTTTATGGGAAAAGAGAATTAAAAGCTTATTTGGATGCAAAAAAATTGATCTTATACATATTTTTCATAATATACATTTCCAAGAACTTTTTAAAGATCCCTCACATTCATGGATTTCAAAAGTTGTTGCACCGAAGTTAACTTAGTTTTGATTCCATTTTCTGAGAACTTTTTAAACACCCCCACATTTGTGGATGGAGTATTTCCCCTTGTGCAAAGTGCCTGTTCCTGCCTTGCGCCCATTTCTGTGTGGGGTTGTCTGCCCTCTCCTTGTTGGGTTTCTTTCTGTTCCCTCGCCGCTCACCCTCTGCTGGTTCTAGGAATCGCCAGCTTCTTAAGTGCAGTCTCTCCGCTCTCTGGATGCTGTTTGTTGATGAGGGGAAGTGACCCTGACGCAGTCTGATGTTTCTGTTTCCGGCCCCCCCTCCTTAGCTCTTTGGATCTTGTGCAGTAAACGCTCTTGTGCCTCCAACTCAGAAGATACTCTCTTCGTCGTGTCTCCCAGTTTGGGCTTTGACCTTACGTCTCACGCTGTCTGGGCTCATGTTTTAGGAAGGGTCAAGACGGCCACAGGGGGCGGTGCAGCCCCACATTACCCAACTCTGGAAGAGCTGGGCGTCCCGCTCAGCCTCTGTACGGCGTGAGTCAGGGGTGCGGTGAGCTTTCCCCACCTGCAAAGCCGGTTTTCCCAGCTCTGCTTGTTGAACAAACTCTCCTTTCTGCTGTGGATCGAAGCTCCGGACACGCACGGTCCATCTGTGGGCTCTGTGTTCCCCCGGTCAGCAGGCGTTCCTGGGCGTTCACATTCATGTGTGAATGTCTTGGTCCAAGAAGATGTGTTAGGAGGTGTGAGGGTGACTCCACATCGCGAGGCCAGAGCTTCCAGCAGCGGATTTTGATTCTGGGACTCATGGCTCTCTCTCACCCTCCCCCAAGGATAAGTGCTACCAGTACTGGCCCACAGAGGGCTCAGTTATCCATGGAGAAATCACGATCGAAATCAAGAGCGATTCCCTGTCGGAAGGCATCAGTGTGCGGGACTTCCTGGTCACCTGCAGTCAGGTATTGTTGCCACAGATCCCGAAACCCGTGTGCTCCTGACGGGCGGCAGCCATCGCTCAGGGCTCTGCGTGTCCTGCGCCCGCCTCTCCGGGACCCAGCTTACTGGGACCAGCCAGCGCTCCCTTGTCCATGGGCAGGTCTCTTGTAGAGTCGCCCCCTTGTGGCCACCTGCATCCTCGCTGGCAAGGAGCGTGGTGGGGCAGAGGTTGTGCTCTCCGTTTCACGCCTCTCAGTCCCCTCTCGGGAGAAGGGCAGACAGCAGCCGGGACAGGAGGAACCAAGGGACCAGAGGGGCCCTCCCCCAGGGCCTTCTCGGGGCCCCCACAGTCCCTGGTGCACTGCTCACTCTGTTTTCTGGCAAAGAGTGGATCTCTGGACCAGCCGTGGGTGAGCTGACTCACCGTGGGCTGGAGACGACTCCATTCTCTCAAGCAGAGCTGCCCAGGACCCTGGGAAGGGTTGGGCAGGGCCTCTCCGGGGCTCCAGGGGCTGTTCTCTGGGTGTCCTGCACAGCCACCCCCTGCCTTCTCCTCCCGGGTAAGCAGGGCTACTGCAGAGGCCCCGGGAGAGTTCTGGGTGCTCCCACCTGCCCCGGAGGGCGAGCGGGCCCGGGACCTTCCCCCGGGGCCGGCAGTGTGGGAGTGGGCAGCACTGAGACCCCTTTCCTGCCGCAGCCCCTGGCCCGCCAGGAGGAGCAGATCCGCGTGGTGCGCCAGTTCCACTTCCACGGCTGGCCCGAGATCGGGATTCCCGCCGAGGGCAAAGGCATGATCGACCTCATCGCGGCCGTGCAGAAGCAGCAGCAGCAGACGGGCAACCACCCCATCACTGTGCACTGCAGGTGAGCGGCGCCGTGGCGCCCCTCGGTGGGGTGCTGTGGCGGGGGCGGTGCCATCCCCAGGACCCTCTGTGTCCTGTGCCTCCTGCCACTGATCACGCCCAGCCCCACCCAAGTGCTAGACGCCGTCTGATCCGGTGCACGACGCCCTGGGCGCGGGAGTTGGGGGAAGAGCATGTGAAGTCGCCGCAAGTGGCCCGGCGAAGCTCTGGCAAACGCACGCCTGTCCTTGGTTGCCGGACTTCTGGTTCCGGCTGCCGGGCCACGTGCTGCCCCGTCCTCTCCCCTCCGTCCTCTCCCCTCGGCTTGGCGAGGTGGGTGTGGCTGACTGTGAAGCCCAGGCTGCAGTGACCCAAGGAGGCCCGTAGCCTCCTGACCTTTGTCCCAGAGTCAGGCGAGTGACCGAGGGGCACACGGGGCCGTATCCCGAGACAGCTGTGCAGCCAGGGAGCCCTTGGATCCCCAGCACACGGAGGGTGGGAGGGGCCGTCCAGCCAACGGGAGGACCCGCCCACTCATCTTCCTCCCTGCCCCTCTGCTGGCGGGCCTTGGTCACTGGCTCAGAGCTCGTTCAAGCAGGAGTTTGGGCTGCTTTA